GATGATGACAGCTTTGCTTGTGCACCAAACCTCTACCTATTAGCACAAGGTCTGAAAATACCTACTCTCCTTTTGAGTCTGCTCATCATTTGTAATTGTGTGGAATGTATAGAAATGTCCTTCAGGCCTTGGAAGGTGAACATAGGAAGAAAAGTGATCTCAGGACTGTGGTGGCAAGATAATTACAGTCAAATACAAAAGTTGAGGTTTCCCATCAAGTGCTATTTTCTGCCCTGTCTTTCTTCCATCCTGGTCTGTTACCTTATTCTTCTGGGCAATCTCCTCTATGAGGAAGGTGTGGTGACCACGGTGCTCTGGAGACCGCTCGCAAAGCCAGCAAATGATCTTCTCATCCTCCTGGCAGAAGAGCAGGAGTTTCTCTCCATGGTGCACACAGAGATCTCTCTTTTGCTCCTCCTGTGGGCTCAACTTGACCTCCCTAAGCGCCTCCACAATGTTGGCCACATGTCGATTGGGACGCAAGTTCTCAGGCTGGTAACTGATCCTGCACACAGGGCAGCTGCTCTCTCCTTGGCCAATCATGGACTCCCTGTTGTTTGCAGTGATGCAGGCTTGGCAAAATGTGTGCCCACAGTCCAGGCTCATGGGTTCTGTTAGCAGCTCCAGGCAGATGGGGCAGGTCACCTCCTCCTTTACGTTCATCAGGATTCCTGAAGCCATCGCAGCTGCTCCCCTGCTCCTATCTGTCCTGATCTGAGGCTCCTGTTGCTCACTGACCTCTGCCTGATTGGAAAGATTAAAGGGGGGCAGAGTAAGAATGGTAGGAATAAATGTTGCTAATTGTGTAGAAATGAAGGATGGGGCAAGATATAAAATGATTAAAAATATATATAACAAATGATAAAAAGAAAAGGTGGAGAGACAAGGAAAGGAGCATGGTGACCAGGTAAAAAAAGCCATTTATAACAATATTAGAGGCCTGGTACATGAAATCTTTGCATGGGGGGGGAGGAAGGGTCCCTCAGCCTGGCCTGCACCCTCCCGCAATCTGGGACCGCTCGGGGGATGTCTAACTGCCAAATGCAGGATCAGGCCTAAACTGGCATTCAGACATCCCTCTCACATCTGGGACTGCTGACTCCTAACTGCTCACCTGCTTGCCTGCCTGATTGCCCCTAGCCATTCAGCTGCCTGCCTGATCGCCCCTAACCACTCTACCTGCCTGCCTGATTGCCCCTAACCAATCTGCCTGCCTGATCACCCCTAACCACTCGCCTCCCTGCCTTATCACCCCTAACTGCTCAACTGCCTGTCTGATTAACCCTAACTGCCTCTGCCTCGGCCCCCACTGTGCGGCTTTGTCCAGAAAAATGTCCAGAATGACATCCGTAAGGTCGTTTGGCTGTCCAGTCTAATTAACATATTATGCATTTATTATTATAGATTTTAATTTTAATTTTTTTGTTAATCCTCACTCGAGGATATTTTTGCCATTGATTTTTAGACAGAGTAGAAGGGAGGTAGGGGAAGAGAGAGAGAGAGAGAGAGAGAGAGAGAGAGAGAGAGAGAGAGATGAATGTGAGAGAGACACATAAATTGGTTGTCTGCCACAGGTACCCAGATCTGGGTGGTGATCAAACCTGCAACCCTGGTAAGTGTTCTTGACCGTTCCATGCACCAGCCAACACTGAAACCATTGAGAAGTTCAAGCTAGGCACATAAGAATTTTAAATACTTTTATTTAATCTGACATGACAAATTTCATTTTCATCTGTGTAATGGTTGTTATTGACCTTTACTTTTACCAACTCAAAGGATGACCTGAGGCCTTTTTTACAATGGAAAGATGTTTGTGTGACCCAGCATCTCTCTTCCTTAATATTTCCTATACCAAGCACATCCCCAAACCACTTTTGGGTCTGGGCTTTTATGCCTGCTCTTCAGGTAATGCTGCCCTGGTGTCAGTAGGGCTCATTATCATCCTTCAGTTAACAATATCTTCCATGTTCCTTTATCAGAAAGACCTGCTCTGACTGCTTATGTATAGTATAACCATAGCCATCATTTGCTGTATGTTTGAAAAAATTTCTCTCATTATTATGACACTAGAGGCCCAGTGCACAAAATTTGGACATGGGTAGGGTCTCTAGGCCTGGCCGGTGATCAGGGCCAATTGGGGCCTTCCAGCTTCTGGCCAGGGCCTTCCTTCCCCAGCTGTTGGCTATCGGCCAGGGCCTTCCTTTGTTCCATGCCACCCCCTGGTGGTCATCACTCATCATAGCGAGTGATCAAACTCCCAGTGTCCTGGTCAAATTCCCAAGGGGACACTTTGCATATTAGGCTTTTATATATATACTAGAGGCCCAGTGCACAAAAATTTGTGCACTTGGCGGGGAGAGGGGGTCCCTCAGCCCGGCCTGTGCCCTCTCGCAGTCTGGGACCCCTCGGGAGATAACGACCTGCTGGCTTAGGCCTGCTCCCGGGTGGCAGAGGGCAGGCCCAATCCCTAGGTGCAGCCCCTGGTCAGGCTCAGAGCAGGGCCGATTGGGGAGTTGGGGCGCCGCCCCCGTCATGCACAGAGCAGGG